GACGGGGCGGGCGGGCAGCACAATGGGTTGCCCGCTTCGCCGCTGCACGGCCTGGCCCGGCCCGGCCCGGCTCGGCGGCTGTCGGGGCTCTCACGTCGCCAGGGACTTGGTTGTCACCACATACTTGGTTGTCACCACATGGCGCGATTTCAGGGAGCGAGGGGGGCAAGTTGCCCCGACCACTTCTCAGTGCCCCAACTTCAGCGCAGTTCGTTGGGCGCAAAAATGGGGTAAGCGCCATTGACTGGGCTTTTGGGTTGWGTGGTGTTCCCTTGCACTGAGGATAGCAGCCCTTCCAACAAAGGAGGTGGGTGGGCTGCAGAGCCCCCTGCACAACAATCCCCAGGGGCTTGCAAGCACCCCTGCCAGGAGCCACTGAGAGCAAGCCCTGCTCCTGGACACAATGCTAAGGTCCAGCGCTGCTGCTGGGTGTCACCATCCAACCATTCACYAAAGTGYACAGTCCTATTTTGGTGGAGCGATRTTGATGGGGACGTGAAGGGCCTGAGTAGACGTTGGAGGAAAGGCACAGCAGGTGGCCGGCGATGAGATGTTACCTGCTGTGCAATAAAACCCTACCAACTGAAATAACTGAGGTTAGTTACTTAGCGGTATCAGCTAGATGTGCTGGTTGTTCTGCTGGTGGCATCATCCTAGCAGGGATGTGCTGACATTGTCTAAAACCAGTTGGCAGCAAGGTGAGTGTTACAGACAGAACTGTGCTGCTATGATTTTGTTTGCAGCAATATCTTTCTCCTGTGAGTGTAGTTTTGGCTCAGCGGGTCACAGTGCAACCAAATGCTCACCCGCTGAGCCATGCTAGCAGAATTATTTAACTGTAGGCCTAAACTATAACAAAACACTAGTGCTCTGTACAGGACATGGTACTTTCCAATAGCATTCAAGAACACAACGGTAATTTTTCTCCCTTAGTTTTTGTTTTGAAGAAACACCAAGTTTTTTTTTTTTTTTTTTTCCCTAAATGGTATTAGTTTTGCCTGGTTACCCTCTTGGAAGACAATGATGACAAATTTAAACTGACCTCCCCAGCTTCACTCCCCCTTTGTGCGCTTTCCTGTGACACCTTTAACTGCAGTGCTCCACATCACGGCTCTGATAATACCAGACAAATCTTTTCTGGATTCTCCTAACAGGCTAGGTATGGAGCCAGCACGGAGCGTGTAGCTAAGGTAGCATTTAGGTGTTCTGTGTGTTACATAAGCTCTCACAGCTGAAGGAGGAAGTGCCAAGAGAGTGTTTCAAAGGTTGACAGAAGTTGTTTGTTGCTAACTGTATTACCTGAGAAATGAGGTGCAAGTAAACACCCTCACAAAGAGATAAAAGCTAGACAGCACAAGCATCCTGTGTGAGTGCGTAACCACACAGCACTGCCCTGCAGGGTTATGTATACGGAATACCTCCCTGTGAAAACACCTTGAACCATAAGTTCAGAGCAGATAATTTCTAGAAGCCACCAGGTCGTAGATGTAGGCAGCCAAGAAGGGAAAGTGGCTTCTCTGAAGTAGGACAAAGCACAGAGATATTAACTTCCAGGACATGTTGGGAGCTGCTTTTGTTTGTGCCACCTTCTGCTTTGTTAAGTGGCTGGGATGGGTTTCAGGTGTTGCTGAGCCTCTAACTGATGAATCAGTTGGTTAATTGTTCAAAGTAATTACGTAATGATTGTTTTTTAACTCCAGAGATTTTGACAAATACATTTTTTTTAATGCTAATAAACACATGCTCACGTACATATGAGAGCCTGTCTGAGAATTCACATGCAGACACACACCCAGATGGGAACAAATACTAAGGGGAGTGACTGCCCTCGTTTATAGATGCATCCAGGTATAACAGTAGTGACATTTTATTTATCAGGGACCAGCAAAGACTTGTTTTCTTTTTTTTGTGATGCTTATGGGGAAGGGGAGCAGGACTGGGAAGGAAAGTCCTGGTAGCATCACTCCTGGCTTTTCTGGCCCAGACCATGCCGTGGTCCCCTGTCACGCTACGACCTCAAATATTAAGGATCCTGCTTAAGGAACTGCTGCTCTTGTATTTACAAAGCGCTTTGTGTGTCTTGATTTACCTGCAAGTTTGCAAAGCCTGTCTTCCCATGCACTGCCATTCCTAACCACCCAACAGATAAACTGGCCTTTTTGGGAAATGGATATTCTGGCTGCGTATCACATCCAGCCTCAGGGGTGCTAGTTGGTCATCTGTGACTTCAGTCACCACACAAGCCACCTCCAGGAGTGTGTGTCATTCGCAGCTTCCTGACATGCGACTTCCCTAGTCTGGTTGTATCGGTATCATCAGCGCTGTGTTATCATGGGTGGACTGTACAGGCTGAGAATTAATCATTGTTCCTCCAAAGATGCCTGTTTGGCTCCACAAGAGTGGAAGTCTGGTAACACCACCCGATGTCTCTCGAAGATCAACACACCCTTATGGTGATCATCAGCTTGGGCATCTTGATTGCCAGCACCTCACAAACCTTCCTGTTCCCTTCTGGGTGGATGCTTGCAGCCTGACTTACARCTCACCTGCGTTACCTATATTTTTGTTTATGTAGGATGTTCCCTCCTCATATTTTATCCCAGATCATCATCCACTGACTGCATAACTCTTGTGGTACTACTGTGGTAATTCTGCATGTCCCTGAAGCCTTTCAGGGACTAGAGATGGCAGACAAAGGAGCATTTGTAAGCAGAAAGAAGAATATTTTCATCTTGGAATGTTTTGCGTATGTCAGAACTGGTTCTTGCCAACTCCAGTAGCTGATCTACAGTCCAAGAAGTCTTATTTTTATTTTATTTTATTTTATTTTATTTTATTTTATTTTATTTTATTTTATTTTATTTTATTTTATTTTATTTTATTTTATTTTATTTTATTTTATTTTATTTTATTTTATTTTATTTTATTTTATTTTATTTTATTTTATATAGTATAAGAGCTATAGTTTTGGAAAAGGACTGAGCATATTTATACAGATCCTGATGGCCATGGTGGGTACTGAGGGATGGAGATGGATGCAGGATATTTTGGGGAATTTCCTCTGACCAAGTGGTTCCTCCTATGCATTCCAGTTCACAACCCACTCGCTCTTGTGGGGTGTAATGTGYCTTTGCATGGAGATTACAGAACAATTTCAGTAGCCATAAGAACTATGTATTTTGGTGTAGCGGGGGAAGATCTGAGTAGTCCCTTGATTCAAAGACTTAGAGGAGCTTTCCTCTGAGCGATGAATGTCTAAAAGAAGCCTTGATCTTGAAGGTCTTTTCCAACCATTATGATTCTAAGCCCCCTTTCAGTTCCCAACCCACCGAAGGACAAAAGCAGAGAGTAGAAAYGAGTAGTGGAAGACTGGAAATCTGCAGAAGTGTGACCTACATTGAGGTTCACATGTAGTTGTATTCACTTTGTCACAACTTCACCTCTGACTGCAGCCTGATGAAGGACAGCAGTGCGTACAGAACACCTCCTCATCAGCTTGAATTCCTTGACACTCCCATCTCAATCACAAATACTACCCAAGACATAGTTTTCCCTAAGGGATGGTGGATCCTAGGCAGCTGGCAGGCTGCTCTGCCCTTGCTGTCAGCTTGCAGCTGCTCCCGCGCGCAGCAGGGTGAAGCACGGCTCTTTGTGGCACTTGGTAAGATCCAAGAGCTGGACAAGCTCTGGAGAGAGATCTCCAGAGAAGGAGACTCCACAASYTCTCTGGGCAGCCTGTGCCAGGGCTCTGKCAYCCTCACTGTTAAAAGGTTTTTCCTTAAGTTCCTGCAGAACTTTTGGTACTTCAGTTTGTGGCCGTTTCCTTCAGTTCTGTCAGTTGCTACCACTGAAAAGAGGCCGGCGCTGTCCTCCTCATCCCCTCCCTGAGGTATTTATAATACCTCAGTACTTAAAGGCTGAGATAATACCTCAATAATACCTCAATACTTAAAGACTGCGAAGTCCTGCAGAGGCAATGATTACATAAAACTGAACCAGGAGCAAGTTCTGATGGAGTGTCTCCAATTTGGCTTTAAATAGTGTCAACAAGCCAAGCTGTAGAAGTTAAATTACATATTAAGCTTCTTGACACATAGTGCAACTCTGTCTTACGTGAGTCTGTGACAAAGCRTGGGAGGGAATAGAAGCCAACATCTTAGACATTTGTTACCAAACCTATTTGTTGTCCATATGGGTTTAACATTGATCAGAGAGAAGACAAGCACCATTCCTTGGAGAGGWCATGGGGAATCTGAGACCCCATGTGGCTAGGCAAACTCTGCATTCCAGGGTATGACTCTGACAATCCTGAAAGCACTCCAAAATCTCTTAAAAGCATTTTAGTTTCAATTTGAATAGAACTAGGAGTAATCAGATTAAAAAAAAAATGAAAGGCATTTCTCCATCTCTCCCATCTTCAYCTGTGCTATCAGCAGCGCCAAGAGTCCAAGCACGAGCTGGGCATAACCTGCTCTGGGACCTGCCACAGCAGCACATGGCTCATC